TATTTCCATGAATTTTGGTTTTCTTCATTCTTCTTTGCTCTTGATGAGGAGAGACCCATCGTTGCATCTAGATGGCAGCTTGCTAGCTTTTAAGATCCTAGTCACTACTCGCCAAAGTAGGAGATGGAACAATGTTTTATATAGTATGTTATGCCAATTGAGCTTGATGTCCCCTGCGACTGTGGTCCCAAGCCTGCAGGTTTAACTACTTGGTCCCTCTGGGTAGCTGGCTATGACCAAGCAATGACCACAAACTTGCCCCTTGAGAAACAGACTGATTTTGACACAATTTTATTTCAGCTATGTTTTTATTCATCTTTAACAAATACACTTTTTTTTTTTTTAAATTGCTTATGAAGTATATGGTGAGTGAAATGATAAAATTTAACTTTAATTAAAACTATTAAAATTCTTCCAAATGAGAATTTTCCCTTTAGAGTATACTCTTAACTATTCTGTATTTATTCCAGTCATGCTGCCATTGCTCAGAGTGTTATGGAATACCTATTTGGGAACTTCCTCCCTGAATCTGAGACTTAGTATTCTCAGTGATAGCAAACCCGCTTTGAAAGGTGAATTAGATTTTGGGGAGTAAGCAATGTTTTGTGGTGCCAGATGGGCACTGAAGCTGATGATCAAGGAAAGACATATGGTATGATATAAAAGAGTGAGAATGAATATCTTTACTGTTTTGAAGGTGGTTTTGGAAAATGTTTGAGCAATACTGTTTGGAATAATTATGTACCCTCCAAATCACAGCATCCATTTGGATATGTCATGTTTGTATGTTGAAAATGCTAGCTAATCACTTTATAATCATACCAGGCAGAGATTATCTCATTTAAGTCAGGAGGTAGGTTAAAAGTAAGAATTTGTAAATCTCTGGGGACATTTATTCCCATAGTAAAAGTGTCTGGATTTGAATGTTGCAGTTTTCAGTTGTCCAAGACATGCTCTCTGTCAGGTACTTTTTGATAGGGTTAGAGTTGATTTATCTGTCTTATATTCAAACACAAGCATACAAACTATTCCAATTTTTCTTGTAAGATATATTTACATATATATATATTTTAGGATTTCTTATGATGCAATTTTGAATGTTAAGGGACAGATTTACAAATTGGGTACCGACTGAACAGCAAACAGCAAAAAACAATAATGTATTTTTATAAAAAAAACAGTTAACTTCAATTTCAGAAATTATTTTTGGCATAACAGTAACATTTTAAGAATATATTAGTGAATAAACATAATAATTCCTTTGGAACAGCGTTTACTTGATTGTATGTCATTCTAGGCTTATTTAGAAATTAAAGAACATGTAAAGGCCACTGGAAATAAATTAATAGTTTCTCAGATATATTATGTAACAGCTGGTATGGAATATGAATGTCCTGAAGCTAAAGATGATCAGATCTTTGATACAGCAATTAGGAGGAAATACTAATTCTATGATACAAAAAAACCAGAAATGTTTTTAATATACTAATGCTTGCAAGTAAAATCTTACATCCTTTCTTTTTACAGGCTAAGAGAAGGCAGAGAAAGGATTTGGCCAACAGTGACTCCAGAAAAACTACAGAGAAGCTCTTGACAACATTTTTGAAAAGACAAGCTATTAAAACTGCTTTAAAAAGCAAAAGGCAAGATGCATATTACATTGATCTTAAAAATTATTTTTTCTCATGTTGTATTCCTGGGGTTCCCTTTCCTTAATTTTAATTCCCAACTGAAAGTAGAGGATGAAATGAGCAGGAAATAATAGGATGACATTCATCCTAGGAGCTCAAAATTGTGAAATTGCTCCTCTGTGGAAATTAACTTTGGTAAGGAATAAGAAAAGATGAAGTGTTGCATTGTGTACATTACTTCTATGCTGTTGTTTGTGAATATAGTTAAGGCTGTTACTGAGACTCTGAGAAGCTATAACAAGTTTCCTTTTTCTTTTCTTTCCTCTTAGGCTGTATTTATTTTCCAAAGTGATAGGCTAATTCAGAGCTGGGTCAGTAAAGGGAGAAGCCCGTTGCCAGTGTGTTTCCTCCTTCTTCACCTGAGCAGGATTTGTGTAATCCATGGGGTAGTATGATTAACTCAAAATACTATTTCATATAATCGCTTTAAATATATGTGTATATTTTAGAGATGAAGCACTACCCAGCCTTACTCAAGTGCGAAGAGATGACATCTATGTTTTGCCACCTTTACAAGAGGAAGAAAAAAATAGGTAAATGTTTAAGATTTAAAAGCATAATTTTAATTATTGCTTTGTTCAAATAGATTAAAACCTTTCTATTTCATCTGTATGATAAGACATGTAGGAATTAAAGCACCTGAAATATCCATTCTGTACACCTTTCAGAATATTTTTCAAAGGCTAAATTTTCTATTTTTTAACTTACCTTTGAGTTTTGGTGATTTGTGATGGTTTGTGATAAATTGTTGTTTTTCATTCAAACACTCTCCACTAGCACTATTGGTTTAAATTTCATGACGACATGGATTTTAGTTTTCCTTGCACTCTGCTTTAGGTACACAGACTGTGTCTATCTGCCTTGCGGTCCAGTATCATCTCTCTTACACCACCACACTAAAAGACTACATAGGGCGTCCTTGTTGCTAAATTCAGTAGACACTTTAATTCTCAGCTTATTTGATTTCTTGGCACCATTTAAAGCTGGTATCCTGCTGTTCAGGGAGCTCTGGTAGCGTAGTGCCTAAGGCACTTGACTGTTAACCAGAAGGCTGGCAGTTCAAACTCACCAGCCACTTCTTGGAAAGAAGGTTGGGCAATCTACTTCCATAGTGATACTGCCTCAGAAACCCAAGGAGGGGTCACTATGTGTTGGCACACAACAACAACAACAACAACCCTGCTGTTCTGTTTTCTTAATACTTCTTGGGCTTATCTGTCTGTCTTAGGCTTCTTTGTAGACCCCTCTTCCTCTGGCTATTGTTTACTTGTTTGTGGCTTCTGTGGTTGAAATGAAGATGGGGAAGTAGAAGCCTTGACAGTTTGTCTCTGCTCCAGGAGAGCTCCTTTTCCAGGAGCCCTGAGAGACAGAGTAGCTTCTGATCCAGGCCAGTTCTCTTTATCTCCATTGCCACTACCTTAGATTAGATCATCATCTTATTTTATCTAGATTTCTGTAGTAGCTTCCAAACTTTTTTCTCTGTTGTTTTCTTTGATCTCATCCTTTTTGCAGTAGCCCCTCCCCACCACAGCTAATCTCTGCTTTGGATTGTAATATTATATTTTAAACACAAAGATGATATTGTCATTTTCCTGCTTAAAATGCATCCTAGCTTCTCATTCTTTAGGAAAAAAACTTGAATGTAATGCATTTCTTCAACATAGCTTTTGCCCTCTTCCATCAGACAGGCTTTCTTTTCCTTGTTTCTATATGTTTATAGAACTTATGCCTCTGCCTGGAACTCTTGTCTCCATGAATCTCCCCCACACTCTATAGATAGAACCCCCACTTTGCCATGCTGACTCCAAACAGTGTAATTGGAGGGTATTCCAGAAAGCTTTCATGATCCCCGAAATTGAGGTGAGGTGACTCTCCTTATTGCACCTTAACAACCTGGTCTTTCTTTGTGAGAATAGTTACTAAAAACTCTCAAAAAACTCAACTGCCATCAAGTTGATTCCCACTCATAGCAACCCCTCCTTGGGTTTCTGAGGCAGTATCACTGTGGAAGTAGATTGCCCAGTCTTCCTTCTGAGGAGTGGCTGGTGGGTTTAAACTGACAGCCTTCTGGTTAGCAGTCAAATGCCTTAGGCACTATGCTACCAGAGCTCCTCAGTTACTAAATTACATTGTAATTATTATATGTGTTCCTCATTAAACTGTAAAATCAATGATAGCACAGATCTTGCTGTCTTGTTCACCATTGGGCTCCTATAACTATTAGCACCTTGCAGACAATAGATCTTTTTGTAAGTAGTCATTAAAATCGTACATATTGTAAATGTATGTTTGACTTTCAGTTCAGAAGAGGAAGAAGAAAAAGAATGGCAAGAAAGAATGAATCAAAAACAGGCATTACAGGTATTTCAGTAAGTTTTGAATCAGTTTAAAAAAATGAAATTAAAAAATAATCTCCAAACTTAACTTTTAAAATAATTTTTTAATTATTATTTTGAAGAAATGTATTTTTTTATTTGAAAAGAATGACATCAAAATCATTTTCAGTGATGTGGTATGAATTTATGTAACTTCTGATAAAAGATAAAGACAGATGTTTTCTTTATTTTGTGTACAAATATGTATATGCATGTGTATATGTGTATGAAATACATGCATACCCGTATACACATATATGGAATTTGCCATCACCCATGTCTAGATTATCCCAAATCGAGTTGGATCAAACTTGTAGCGACCCCCCTCCGCTTTGGTTTCTGAGGCAGTATCTCTATGGAAGTATATTGCCCAATCTTCCTTCCGAGGAGTGGCAGGTGGGTTTGAACTGCCAGCCTTCTGGTTAGCAGTCACATGCCTTAAGCACTACCCCACCAGAGCTCCCTTTTTTCGTTTTTGAGTAGATTATCCAAAGTAGGCCCATTTTCCTTTTCCAACCAACCAATAAGTAAGTGAATAAGTAAGTAAATAAAGGTAATACATGCTTATGTAGAGCATAAATACCTTGTAGTAACATTTTAGTGTATTTTATATTGTATTTGATTATTTTTCCTCTTTTTGATATAGATAAATTGTGTGTGTGAGTCTGTGTATTTAGATATGTGCATTGGTACCTAAATATATATATATGTGTGATATATATCTGTGCTTATGTTATAGTTATCTATTATTGAATGATGAATCTCCCAAAAACTTAGAGTTGTAAAACAACAGTTATTTCTTTTCTTCATCTATCATGTTCCGAGGGTTGACTGAACTCAGTTAGGTAGTTCTTTCTGAGGGTATCCCAGGCAGATACATTCAGATTGTAGTTGGGACTGAAGTCACCTCAAAGACCTCCTCCCTTTCATTTTTGGCAGTTGATGCCAACTTTTGGCTAGACCTTAACGAGGGCTGTCAGCCAGAATATCTGTGTGTGGACTCTATGTGGTATAGGTTTTCCACAGCATGATGTGCTTGTTTAAAGAACAAGCATCTCAAGAGAAAGTGGCAGGCAGAAACTCTGTTGCCTTTTCTAGCCTAGTGTTGGAGATTAATGCAGCATCCCTCCTTCTGCAGTCTGTTTGTTAGAAGCAAGTTACTAAGGCCAGCCCCTATTGAAACCCAAACCAAACCCTCTGACATCGAGTCAATTTCTACTCATAACAGCCCTGTAGGACAGAGTAGAACTGCCTCACAGTTTCTAAGGCTGTAAATCTTTACAGAAGCAGACTGGCTCATCTTTCTCCTGCAGAGTGGCTGGTGGGTTTGAACTGCCAACCTTTTGCTTAGAAGCCAAATGCTTTAATTGCTATGCCATCAGAGCTCTTATTGAAAGGAGAGGAGAATTAGACAGGAAAAGTGTCTAAGAATTTGTGAACAGCTTATAAAATCACCACCAAAAACCAAAACCAAACCCACTGCTGTTGAGTTGATTCAGGCTTATAGCGACTCCCACTGGGTTTCTGAGGCAGTTAATCTTTACAGAAATAGATTGCCCAGTCTTACTTCCACAGACTGGCTGGTAAGTTTGAACCACCAATCTTCTGGTTAGTAGTCAGATACCTTAGGCACTGTGCTGCCAGAACTCCTAAATCACCACCACAGATGGTAGCATGGTGCCTAAGGCATTTGACTGTTAACCAGAAGGCTGGCGTTTCAAACCCACCAGCCACTCCTTGGAAGGAAGATGGGGCAATCTACTTCCGTAGTGATACTGCCTTGGAAACTCAAGGAGGGGTCGCTATGAGTCGGGTCTGACTTGATGGCACATAACAAGAAGATGTTTTATTGAATACCATTTTTTGCATACTGAAATTGTAGTAAATATACAAAGTTTTTAATAAACATTTTTTTTCAAGTTTCTTAGTGTAGGTGATAGGATTCTTTGCTTCCCAAATTCAATATTTCTTGTTTATATTTGTATTATTTTCCTACATATAGAAGAAGAACTTTGAGCTAAAACTATGGAACTAACTTGTGGTATTCTGCAGTATTAAAACAGTAATTGATAGCAACTTTGGTTGAGACATGGACCTTAAAGTCAGAAAGATGTACATTTGAGTTTGGCCTCTGCGTTTACTAGCTGTGGGATCTAGACAAATTAATTAACTTCTCCAGTGCTTTATGTCTTTTTCTGTAGAGCAGAAATATAATAACTCCTTCCTCATAGGGGGATGGGAGGATTAATTAGGTAAACATGGGAAGTGCAAGCATAGTGACTGGCTGTTGTAAGTGCTCCCTGTTTTTTCACGTATGTACGCAATGTACATACATACAGGTAATCAAATGGTGTTATTTTATATAGTCATGATGTTGTTGTTGTTGTTATGTGCAGTCGAGTTGGACCCGACTCATAGCGACCCCTCCTTGGGTTTCGAAGGCAGTATAACTACGGAAGTAGATTGCCCCGTCTTCCTTCCGAGGAGTGGCCAGTGGGTTTGAACCACCAGCCTTCTGGTTAGCAGTCAAGTGCCTTAGCCACTACGCTACCAGAGCTCCTTATATAGTCATGAAGGGGTTTTAAATACTTCTGGTAATTAAATTAAAAAAAAACTTTGTCCTTTTTCTTGCCTGTGAAATGTCTCCCTTTTAATTTCACGTTAAGACCAAAACAAGTAATTAAGAAAATTATAAACATTATTCAAAATTGTAAGTGCCATCTTTGCAATAGGTACTTTGCCCTTGCTGAGAAATGGATGAGCTTGGGAACTCTGTCCCTGATCATTGTGTGGCAGGCTCTTTGTTGTCCTTCAAGTCCATGTTCAGATGTCATCTTTTCAGTGGGGCCTTCTTTTCTTATCAAATGATATTTTTTCCCCCTGTTCTCCTAGTCACTCTCTTAGCCAGTGAACCTGTTTTATTTTCTTCAGAGCACTTATTATTCTCTTGTTTATCATATGCCTTCCTCTATTTCTTAAAGTAGGAATCTTATCTGGTTTGATCACCACCATGCTGTAACACCTAGAATAAGTGCCTGGACAGTAGAGGTGCCCAGTAAATATTTTTTCTTTTGAAGACATGAATGGATACATTTCCTAATTTGCCAATTCACTTTGATTCCTATTCTTGATTATATACAACTATATTTATGACATAAGCACAATGTCATGTTGAATTGAATTAAATGTATGAAGTGTAAATTCTGTGTTGTCACATTTTACTATTTATAGGATGCATTCTTTCATAATCCTCAAGCAATAGATATTGAATCTGAAGACTTCAGCTCCTTACCCCTTGAAATAAAGCATGAAATCTTGACTGATATGAAAGAATTTACCAAGCGAAGAAGAACATTATTTGAAGCAATGCCAGAGGTAAAATGCACAATACATAAATGCTTAGAATTAAGACCTTCACCAAAACTTTTCCTTAAAAAGAAGAGAAAATTGATGTGCATTTCTTATATAATATTGTAGTTTCCAGTAAGCAGCAATTGTGTTATCTCAGAGAATCTATGAAAATCATGTAATTACAAGTTTGAACTTACACACACTTTTTGAAGGAAGTCTTTCTTGACTCTGCACCCAAGACTATGTCTTATCTCCTGATACATGTTCTCATAGCACCTTGTAAAGTCCCTTTATAGTTAGCAAATTGTCAGTCACACCAAAATATGCATATCTTTCTCACTTGTGTTCTCAGCACCTCGCTTAATAGCTTTCACATAGTAAGTGCTGGTGTGTGCGTAGTGGTCCAGTTCTCAGGCTAGCTCATAAGATCTGTTTCACCCATGATATATGCTGTTTTTAGAATATTAATAGCAGCATAGAATCTAATCACAATGAAAAAATATGTTCTAACTTGAAATTACAGGTACATCTTCCTCTGCTATAGCCATGGAAGTGCTCATCTTTCTCCCTTTTTGTGGACAGTGGTAATAGGGCTTCTGATTAAAGCCACAGAAAGCAGGAGTGGGTATGATGCATAGCGTTGAGTTTTGTTGGCATGTTTCCCATCTCTCAATCATGCTTTATACCTTTAATTATTTATTTTCTTCAGGTGTGAATAAGTTTATTTCCCTTTCAACTCCTATCATCTTTTATCTCCAACATAGTTCTTTAATCCATTGTAGAACAGAGTATACATTTGTAGTAGTAGTATCCTTGGCAAAAGAGTGTTTTTCTACAGAGTTTTGAACATTCTTAAAATTGTTCCCCAGAATATGAAAAAGGCAAGCAATATTTCTTCACCCATTACTCCCTTCTTTTTTTTTTCCCATTAAGAATGTAAAGATAGGAAAATACTAAGGCATATAGAAATTGTTCTTCAGGTATACGAAGGACAGAGTAAATTTATTTTCATTTCAGGGGAAAATCCCAGGTGCAGTCTATCTGTTGGGTATTTTATTTCTTGAAGGTGAGAGGATTCCTGAATGCTGCTTGAAGAAGTAGAATTCAGGTTACGTAAACAATAATGGGAAGGAATGGAAGAAAAAGAAGCAATTCCTAATGATTTGATCTAGTTTATTCTTTCTGCCACCACATAGTCTCTTGGATTGGTAGAGCACAGGGTAGTATAGGACAGAGGCTGAATTGCAGCTGTAATTGTGATAGAGTGGATACTTTCTAAGTCAGTAGGTGGGATCTTTGTGTCACCTGCACATTGGGCAAATGTAATATTGATATGAGTAGTGATGTTAAGGAATAATAATAATATTAATAATCATAATAGAAGCAATCTCATATAATTGCGAACAATCTGCTTTTGATCCTAGATCTACCACTTAACAGCTAATAAGCTATTTGACTCTAGGGAGGTTACATAACCTATTTATGTCTCAGTTTCTTTATTTGTAGAATGGAGATAATGGTACCTATCTTATAGGGTGGTTGTGAAAATGAAATGAGGTAATACTTTTAAGTGCACTTAGAAGAGTGCCCTATACACAAAAAATGCTTTATAAATGTTGCCTATTATTTTCAATAACTATAATTGCAGTAATTCATTGCGTGTCTTTTATGGGTCAAAAACTGGTAGCTATTTCATTTGCTTGTTGAATTTATTGCATTCTAGAATATTTTCTCTTAAGCCATAATCTGATTGTCATGGTGGCATAACTTAGATACTCATTGAATGTTTTTGAACAAGTGATTAAGTTACACAAGGTGTTTGTAGTTTCATTTTTTTCCCCATTTATTTTTGTTCTCAAGGTTACCCTTTAAAAAGTCAGTTACAGATTTCCTACTATTCAAATTTTATTAGATAATATGAAAATGCTATCAATGAAAAAATCAGTTGTTCTTTGTCCCCTGATGTGGAAGGGGATGGAAATAAGGTAATATTATTTATTTATTTTTTTTTTAAGAATAATTTTTAAAATTTATTTTGCTTTTAGGAGTCCAGTGACTTTTCCCAGTATCAACTCAAAGGCTTGCTTAAAAAAAACTACTTAAACCAGCACATAGAAAATGTACAAAAGGAAATGAATCAGCAACACTCTGGGCAAATCCAAAGGCAATATGAACACGAAGGGGGCTTTTTGAAGGAGGTAGAGTCAAGGAGAGTGGTCTCAGAAGACACTTCACATTACATCTTGATAAAAGGTATCATGCACCATCATTTATTTGACTGTTAAAAACCAAAAATATGTTGTGTCTCTGAATTTTATAAATTACCACCACCTTAAGTCCTACTTATGTAATAGTTGTTTTATAGCACTACTACTATTGTGGCAACCTACTTTTAAGTTAACAAAAGAATTAACTCTTAGTTGTTAATGAAATGAAAATTTATCATTTCATTTATGAGTACTAGTATTCTCTTGTTCAGCCTACTAGAAGTATACTATCACACTATAAAACTATATAATTAGAAATGTTTTCATTTTTTTCTTTTAAGGTATTCAAACTAAGAAAATTGCAGAAGTAGATTCAGAGTCTCTTCCGTCTTCCAGCAAAATGCATAGTGTGTCTTTTGACATGAAGTCACCTCCATGTGAAAAATTGAAGCCAGAGAAAGAAACTGATGCCACCGCTCCTTCTCCACGAACTTTACTAGCTATGCAAGAAGCCATGCTGGGAAACAGCTCAGAAGAGGAGTTGGAGAGTGAAAATAAAAGGCTGTACAGTAAGAAGAATGCATCAACTAGTACAGATGAAGGCTCTGTATCACCGAGGACTCTCTTAGCTATTCAGAAAGCTCTTGATGATGATGAAGAAGGGATAGTGCATGCTGGGAATGATATGAAGGTGGGGGAATTAGAAGTAAAAAAACTTCTTATGGACAATTCTGGTAAGGAAAATGATGGAGGACCTGAGGTTCAAGGTGGTGGAGAAGGAATGTTGTTTACAACTGTATCTCGTTCAGCTAGTGTGAACTTTGTAGAGGAGTGTGTAATCAGCACTAGTAATGAAAAAGAGCTGACCGACTCAGCTCATTTATCAAACACTAACTTTTGTCAAGGCAGTGAATCTAATGTTCAAAAAGAACCAACATCACTTATTCACACAGTCAGTGAAGCCTTTCAGACAAGTGGTGAATCTATAGTAAAGGATAGACAAGATCCTATTCATTTAAAAAGGACAGTAGTTCTGCACAGTGATGCACCTGGACTCCAGAACAGAAAAGAACTGATATCAACATCCTCAACAAGTATGACTTCTGTATCACAGACTGAAACATACCCCAAAGTTCACGAGCGACAAAACGATCTTGGCACGTCTGAGAATAAATATGATTCTTCTGTTCTTTCTTCAAGTGATGATGAAATAGAATGTGAAAAAAATCATCCTTTTGAAATTACTGGCAGAGTCAGTTTGCAAGAAATGAGTAACACAGTCAGAGTCCCTTCAGAGCCATTAAGTAACTTAGAAAATGAGGATTTGCCAAAAGCTAGCCGAAAAACTGAGATGATTGAATCTGCAGGTCAGGATTTAATTTCAGTTCCAAAGCCCATGGAACCAAAGGAAATTGACTCTGAAGACAGTGAATCTGATGGTAGGTGGTTATACGTTTTTAGAGATATGGAATGGTGGATCTTCACCTATGTTGTGGGACTGAAAAATCTTTTCATCTAGTACTGTTCCTACTTTTTACTGATAGTGAACCAGAAAGCTAAATGACTTTCTCAGGGACAAATAGCTAGTCATTTTAATCTTGAATCTGTTTGGCTGTTCTGTTTATTGCTATTTTTAAAGGGAGAGAATATCATAGTCGGAGAAGGTAAAGGAGCAGGTTTCTCTTCAGTTTATTTTTTAACTTTTTATTTTTAAATAACCTCAAACTTAAGAAAAACTGAAAGAATATTAGAGAAAACTCTTGTTCCTGTACCCAGAACCTCAATTTCTAGCACTTACAACATTTGCTTTGTACATACACACAAAACAGTATATACACACTATATTACACATGCAAGCACACACAAAAAAACCAAACTCACTGCCGTTGAGTCGATTTGACTCATAGCAACCCCTCCTTGGGTTTCTGAGGCAGTATCTTTGATTGCACAATCTTCCTTCTGAGCACACATGCTTAAATTTTTTAAACTGATACCTGCAAGGTTTCTTCACTCTAAAGTGACTACAGTGAAGCCTATAAGAGGTGGAACTCGATGGGACTGCCTTCTTTTTCTGAGTCTCACACATTTTCTGTCTTTGACAGGCAGAAAGCCTTACCACTTTTCTGTAGTTTGTTTTAGTGGACAGTATTTGCATTTTCCTTCTCTAACAGGTTTTTGCCTTACACAGGTTCTGACTTTCGCAGGCTTCACTATCTTTTCCCTTTATAGTTAATAAATATTTTGTTGTTGTTATGTGCTGTCAAGTTGGACCCAACTCAGCGAATTCTCCTTGGGCTTCTGAGGCAGTATCACTAGGGAAGTAGATTGCCCAACCTTTCTTCTGAGGGGTGGTTGGTGGGTTTGAACCGCCACCCTTCTGGTTAGCAGTCAAGTGCCTTAGGCACTGTGCTACCAGAGCTCCTAATAAATATTTTATGGAAGGATATTTTTAGGGTGTGTAAATATGCTGTTCCTCAACTGACTTTCACCCACTTGTTTTAGCACCCACTGATGATTTTCACCTGAATATAGCTTACTATGATAAGTAAGATAAGGTTGCCAAATAGTAGTTTTTCTAATCCCATCATTCCTTATATATTTATTAGGGTAGCATGCTAATATAATGAAAATCTGCTCTTATCCCTCATTTATTATTTTTTATATCTCTTTAGACTCATGGATTCCTATTTTATCTAGTGAGTTATAATTTGATGCTATTATAAATTATTTTGTTAAAATTGTTCCAGTTTTGGCTAGTAGGGACCTTTAATGTTGGCTTTTGTGACTTTTAACAATTCCTCTATTATTTAAAATTTTTTTTGTGAACATGTACACAACAAAAGATATACACGATTTCAACAATTTCTACATGTATAATTCACTGACATTGATTACATTCTTTAAGTTGTACAATTATTTTTGCTGTCCTTTTCCAATTTATTCTACCACCATTAACATAAACTCACGGCCCCCTAAGCTTCTCATCTAATCTTTTGAATTGCTGCTTTCAGTTTGACCTTGGATAGATCATTTTCTTACTTTCTGACCCAGATGTTCCAGGCCTCTTACATTTTTCCCATCCTGGCCTTAGAACCAGCCATTTCACCAGAGAGCCCTGGCTCCTTTTAATCAAGAATGGTATTTAGAAACCAAAATCTAGGTGTTGGGTGTATTTAATATTAGTGGGTTTTTATTGCTTTGGGCCCTCTCAGTCACTAACCCAGAAAATACATATTTATGCACTCACACACGCATCTATATTTATTTCTGTTTCTCTCTTTCTGTATGTATGTATATGTGTGTGTGCATATATCTATATATTCACAAGTTCACATTGATATCCCCAGCCCCAATCTAATATCACAAATTTCATTTTAGCCTTCCCACTTTATTCATAATTTCCATTTCTAACAGTAAGAAACCTTGCTCCCATTATCTTCAATAAGTTTATTTAATTGCTTATTTTTTCTCTATATGTAACCATCTTCCAGTTTAACTGGCCACCTCCTTGGCTCTGTATGTCTCCTTGACCCTGTCCCCATTCCTTGATAACCGCAGCCATCTTCTCAGTCATGAATTCTTCCTCAGACCCAGACAAGAAAAGAGAAGGGAAGGAAAGCAGAGGAGGAAGTACTCATTTAGTATTCCTTCCACTCAGTCACAGCTTTATTCTTTGCTATGTTAATAGTGAAATAGCATAAAATGTTTTTAACAACCTCCATAATTGTTTACATACTTTGGTAGTTCTCTTTTTGAATTGTTTGAAAAATACTAGTTCATTAAGATCACAGTCATATAAAAGTAATATACAAATCTTTGAAAACTTTATTCTTAATTTCGAAGACAGTGCTAGTTTAATGAAAAGGCTTATTTTGAAGTGACAGGCATTTTTAAATTAAATTTATTTAATAGTTGTAAGTTGTTGTTAAATGTCTACTTTTTAATAGTTAAAGTGACTGTTACTGTTTTGGTACAGGAAGTTTCATTGAAGTGGACAGTGTAATTAGTAATGAAAGTCGAGGTGAATTACCAGACAGTTCTAACCCTTCCTCTGAGCAAGGTGAAAAATCAGTTGCTGAAGAGGGACTGACAGAAACTAAGATGGAAGGAGACAGTGGTGATACCGAGAGCTTCTTAAGAGACAACTCTGAAAGCGAGAGCTTGGATATTGAGCCACCTAAAGAAGCTGAAAAAGATGCAGATGATTCACTCAATGAATGGCAAGATATCAATTTGGTAATAATGTGACATCATGCTTTAACTTTTTGCTGAAGAAGATAAATACTTTTGAGTTTTAAGGAGTTACTGGATGAATATTTATGTTATTTTCATGCATCTTCTTGTTCTTGCTGACGGCTCCTTTTTTATATAGGTTACTGTCTGGGGTAGACTCAGGTTTCCATGTGATTTAGTGAGGGAACTCTAATGATATTACAGAATCTTGCTCAGAAATCCAAGAGAAAAAGCTTATTGGTGTTTTCAGTCAGACTACATGCAGGCTTTTTATAACAAATGAACTAAAGTGGATTATTAATATGATTATCTACAAATGTAATTATTATATAGGAAGAACTGGAGACTCTGGAGAGCAGCCTTTTAGAACAACAGAATTCATTGAAAGCTCAAAAACAGCAGCAGGAACGGATTGCTGCTACTGTAACAGGACAGATGTTCCTGGAAAGCCAGGTAGGCTTACTTAACCATGGGCTTCCTTAAACAATTCCTGCTGACGTTTTTTACTTACTCAGATTCCCTCAGGGAATGCATTAAGTAAAGCACTGGTCCCATAGCTGGATAAGGCTGGCTAATGCATTTCAGGAGGTGTCACTGTGTGTCTGTAACTCCACAGGAACTTCTTCGTCTCTTCGGCATTCCCTATATCGAGGCTCCTATGGAAGCAGAGGCACAGTGTGCCATCCTGGACCTGACTGATCAAACTTCCGGAACAATCACTGATGACAGTGATATTTGGCTGTTTGGAGCACGGCATGTCTATAAAAACTTTTTTAATAAAAACAAGTTTGTAGAATATTACCAATATGTGGACTTTCACAACCAATTAGGTAAGGCTTCAGAGTATAATTAATTTCTGAAATTTTCCTTCAAAATTTATAATTTAAATAGTTCTTTCCAAGGAACTAAATGATGAATTAATTGAAATGGTAGGTCTGTACAAATTTTTATACAAATGATCTTTTTTTTTGGATAGGGTAATAAACAAAACCCACTGTTACTGATCATTCTGACTCATAGTGACCCTATAAGACATAGTAGAACTGCCCCTTAGAGTTTCCAATGCTATAAATCCTTACAGAAGCAGACTGCCTCATCTTTCTTTCATGGAGCAGCTGGTGGGTTCAAACTGCTCACCTTTTGCTTTAACCACTGTGCCACCAAAACTCCTTGTATAGTGTAATTGTTGTTGTTGTTGTTATGTGCCATCGAGTCAGACCCGACTCATAGCGACCCCTCCCTGGGTTTCCAAGGCAGTATCACTATGGAAGTAGATTGCCCCATCTTCCTTCCGAGGAGTGGCTGGTGTGTTTGAACCGCCAGCCTTCTGGATAGCAGTCAAGTGCCTTAGGCACTAAGTTACCAGCGTAATAGAATTTTAAAAACTAGAATTAAGAGATTAAAATCGAAGTTTGTTTAGGTATTTCTGCGTTTTATCATCTGACCTGGTTGGCCTGTGACTGGTTACCCTGAGATCTTCAGAGTGAAGTGAAAGATGATACAGATAGAGAGAAATGGTGGTAATCACTCGAACTAGAATTATGTTCCACACACTAGTAGTGTTTCTGGCACTGATCATTTGTTCATTCAACAAACACATGTTGAGGGACTCTTATATGCTGGTTGTTTCTCCTGGCCATGGAGATACAGGGTGCCATAGTGGTTGAAGCATTTGGCTGCTAACCAAAAAGTTGGTGGTTTGAACCTATCAGCTGCTCCATGACAAAAAAATGAGACAGTCTCCTTCTGTAAAGATTTACAGTTTTAGAAATCCTGTAGGGGCAGTTCTACTCTCTCCTGTAGGGTTGCTGTGAGCTGGAATCAATTCAATGGTGGTGTTTTTTTTTCTCCTTTTTTTTAATATGCTGTATAATTAATGACATTTGGTGATATGTACCATATAGAAAAATAAAGCATAAATGGGAGAGAGAGAGTGATAGGGAGTAGGTGGGGTGCTGTTTTAGGCTTTTCTAATAGGTAAATTTTGGACAGGGACCTGAAGGAAATAGGAAGCAAATACCTTGGTGAAGAGCATGTCATAGGGACTAGTAGATGTAGATGCCCGAGGTGGAATTCTGCTTGGTGTGCTGTAGGAGAGCAAAGAGGCCAGTGTGAAAGAAGCAGCGATGGAGGAGGAGAATGGCGAAAGTTAAGGTCTGAGAAGAGGGGGAGGCCAAAATCAAATAGGGTCTGGTGTGCTATAGAAATGATTTGCAGGTGGATTGTCTGTGTGTGGTATGAGAGAAGGAGAAAAGTCAAAGATGATTCCACATCCTGAACAGTTGGTAGAATGGACTTGCCATTTAATGAGATGAAGGAGGCTGTGGAAGGAGTATGGTAGAGTAGGGGAGAAATGAAGCATTCAGGTTTGGACATGTTAAATTTGAGATGCTTATTGGATCTCCAGTTGGGGATGTTAAGTTGAATATATGTGATTGTAGTGCAGAGGTGAGATCTAGGCCAGATACCTAAATTTGAGGGACAGTATATTTAAGTTATAGAACTAGATGAAACTTAAAAAAATCTTAGCAGGAGTTAAAGAAAACAATCTGCTTTCACATAATGAAAAAAAAAGGTATTTTTGGTTAGAGATAGATACATATATACAGAAGTTTATGTCAATTTTTGTATATTGAATATATTATTATTATTATTATTTTTTGCTTTTATAGGGTTAGACCGGAACAAATTAATAAATTTAGCCTATTTGCTTGGAAGTGATTATACAGATGGAATACCAACTGTGGGTTGTGTAACAGCCATGGAAATTCTTAATGAATTTCCTGGACATGGCCTGGAACCTCTGCTGAAATTCTCGTGAGTTCTTTTTGATTTTTTAATTCAGATGTTTTTGTAAATATCCATATTAGCAAATAGAATTATTATTACATAGGGCACTGTCACAAATCATCCTTTGAGAAAACAGGAGGAAGTATTAGTTGGGGTTACAAAAATTTATTTTTTCTAGAGTTTCATGAAATCAGAGTCAGTATTTTTAGTGATGATGGGCTTGTCCTAGCCCAGTGCTGTGAGATATCATAGGAGTGTAGGAGTTACCATTTCATTCACTGAAATATTTATTGAGTAGCTTTTATGTATTGGGCACATACTTGTGTATATATCTGTATATATGTAGTCAAGTAGTCTCCGACTTAACTATGTATTTGAGTTACAATGAAGTGCACTTACAACTGTTCATTTTTTTCTTTTTTTGTACATCTTTTTAGTAATATGTACTACATACAGTGTCGCAGTGCATAATTTGCTGATGTTTTCATTCTTATGCCTACCCCCAAGACGAATAAAAACCTCATTTATAAAATTACTACTAATAAAAAGCAGTTAAAGTGAAAACTAAAAGAAAAAAAAAAAGGTATTTGAGTTACATCAGAACCAGTTCATGAAGGAGTTGTTGGAACAGAATGCCATTGTAAGTCAGGACTACCTATACACACACACAAACACGCACACTTTTAACACTAGTGAGAAATCACTACATATATTTTTTATGTTGCCTGCAACCCATTTGGTGATACAACAAGGCACATTGTCAGCAATATATAGATTTGTATCATTGTTTTTAATCACAGTAGACTTTTTTTTGGTTGTATAATGATTAATTATTTTTAAATTTAGAGTTTTTAAAGGTATAAACAAATACTGATTTGAGTGTCATTATATATATATCTTTGAGTTCTTGCTTAATTATTATTTTAAGATAAGTGAAAATGGGATCTAAGTTTTAAATTTGATATCCTAATTAGTAGAGGAAGAGTTAGTATTTTTTCATGTATATTAACAATTGGCATGCTTAATTTAGTGAATGGCCATTATTTTCTTTTCCTTTTCTTGGTTCAATAGTTTCTGCTTCCTTGTTGCCTATTGTTTATATTTTTTTGAAGTCAGGTAAGAATTTTTTCAGTCACAATTCCTGCCTTTGGTCTTCTAGCCTTTCCTTGGCGCAGTAGCTGTCTCAGCCCTGGCTTGGGAGGTTTAGGAGGATGCAGAGTTAAAGAGCAAAAAGAGGAGTAGAAGAACAATAAAAGTGAGATTTTTGACTTGCTTTCTTTTCTGTTTTCACTTTCTCCTAACCAGACTCTGGCTAGTCACTCGTCCTTTAAAGCAGAGGTGGGCATGCAGCCAGAATTTAGCCTCAGTGCGTTTGGTTTGGTGTACTTCATGTACTCTTGTACAGAGCTTTAATTTTGAAATAGCTACCAACAAATTTGGGAGATTTTGCAGAAAATTTTAGATTCTCTTGGAGGGAAAGGAGATTTGGTCATGCTGGGCCTAAATTCCCAAATGTCCACAAGATAGCTGGTGTGGAATATCAGCAGTTCTCCTCTCCCATCACACTACTCTAGTTAAGACATGAATCCTGCAATTTCATCACACTTGTCATCACTCTCTATTGTCTCCCCCACTGCTAAGCTAATTGACAAATCTCATCTTCCATCTTTATATTAAGTACCTGGTTTTCTTACTATAAGGAAGCTTGATGGGCTCACAGGGTGTTGTGCTGATACTCTTAAGTGGCAATCATGATAATTATTTCAAAGATGGAAAAACAAAAGGAGAGTGAGGGAGAATTGTAAATATTTTCCCAGTGAACTCTTGGAAACGTTATTGTAAAATTGATGAAGACTGCAGTGATGCTTTTTCAGTGCCAGATGGCACTCCTGCACCAGTGAGTTGAAACACTGGCTGAGACACAAATACAAATCATTTTCTAAATATGTGAAGCAGTGAAATGTGAGATATTGGTGGTGGTGTTTTTTTTTTTTTTAAGGTTCCATTGAATATGTGGATTGGTGAAGGTTGTGCTGTGTTTTTAACTTTTATGTTATTTTTTCTAATATAAATTTTCAGATTGTCTGTTATTGCTACGCAAACCACATTAAACTTCAGTGGCTTAAAATTCAGCTATATTCATTTATTTTTCTCAGAAATCTACAATTTGATCAGTCCTCAAATGCCTCATCCCTGTTCCTTGTGATGTCACTTGGGGCAGCTCATCTGGGCTAGAGGATCCACAAAGAGGGCTCATTCACTAACGTGGCTGGCAAATCGATGCTGGCTGTTGTCTGGGAGCTGACGTGGAGCTGTTGGCCAGGGGCCTTGCATCCTCTCCATTTGGGCCTTTTCACGAGCTTAGGCTTCCCTCCAGTATGTCCACTGGTTCCAAGAGCAAACATTCCAAGAGAAACCAAAACCACCACCATGGAGTCAATTCTGACACATCGCAGCTCTATACAACAGTAGAACTGCCCCATAGGGTTTCCAAGGCTGGAAATCTTTCACTTGTAGAGTGGCTGGTAGGTTCGAACAGCTGACTTTTCAGTTAGCAACCTACCACTTTTAACCAGTGCAGCACTAGGACTCTTTATTCCAAGAGAAGACAAATAGAAACGGCAGTCTCTCTCTCCCTCTTTTTTTTTTTTTTTTTAAATTGTGGTTAAAACATACACATCAAGACATTCAGCAGCATAACAACTTTTGCATTTACAGGTCAGGGACATTGATGACATTTTTCATGTTGTGCTACCATCATTGCAGTTCTTTTCTTAAATATTCCACCACCATTAGGATAAACTCAGTGCCCCATTAACAAAAGATTCCCCCTTTTCCCTTCTTCCTACCGCTGATAACCACTAATAATCGTAGGTTTCTTTTTTTTTTCCCTTTCTTTTTTTTTTTTTTACCTCCATAGTAGTTTTTTCTCCCCTCCCGTCCCATCCCTGGTAACCAACAAAGGAAGTTTCTTTCTACATATAAGCCTATTCTTGACTTTTTATAATAGTGGACTAATACAATATTTGGCCTTCTGTGATTGACTTATTTCACTCAGCATAATGTCCTCTAAGTTCATCCATGTTATACGGTGTTTTTGTGGATTCTACATTATTCTTTAGTGTTGCATAGTATTCCATTGTGTGTATGTACCACAGTTTGTTTATCTATTTCTCAGTTGGTGGGCACTTAGGTTGTTTCCATCTCTTTGCTATTGTGCATAGTGCTGCGATGAACATGGATGTACATGTATGTATTCGTTTCCTAGCTCTCATTTCTTTAGGATATATACCTAGTAATGGGATTGCTAGATCAAACGGTATTTCTAATTCGAACTTTTTAAGGAAGCACCATACTAATTTCCACAATGGTTATATCATTTGACAGTCCTACCAGCAGTGTATGAGAGTCCCAATCTCTCCACATCTTTGCCAACATTTGTTATTTTCTGTCTTGTTGAACTTTGCTATTAGTGCTAGGGCAAGATGGTATCGCATTGTTGTTTTGATTTGCATCTCTCTAATGGCTAATGATCATGAACATTTCTTCATGTGTTTGTTGGCCACCTGAATATCCTCTTTGGTGAAGTGTCTATTCATGTCTTCTGCCCATTTTTAAATGGGATTATTTGTCTTTTTAATGTTGAGGTGTTGGAGTTTTCTATAAGTTTTAGAGATAAATCCCTTGTCAGATATGTCATTGCCAAATATTTTTTTCCTAATCTGTAGGTTCTCTTTTGACTCTTTTGGAGAAGTCTTTGGAAGCACATAAAAATTTAGTTTTGAATAAGTCCCATTCATCTAGTTTATCTTCTGCTGTTTGTCCATTTTGTGTTATGCTTGATAGTCTATTTATGCCATATATTAGGGCTCCTAAATTTACCCCTATATTTTCCTTGAAGAACTTTATAGTTTTAGGTTTCACATTTAAGTCTTTGAGCCATCTGGAGTTAGTTTTTATGTATGGTGTGTGATACGGATCTTGTTTCATTTTTCTGCAAATGGATATCCAGTTTTGCCAGCACTATTTGTTAGAGAGACTATCTTTTCCCTACTTAATGAATTTCAGCCCTTTGTAAAAGATTAGCTGACCATAGAAACTGTAGTCTCTTAAGACCTGGTACAGTGTCACTTCTTAAGTATATTATATATATCAAATACACACACACACATATATACATATACTTGATGTATGTGTATGTATGTATATGTATGTGTATATATATATATATACACATACACATGTATGTATGTATATATATATATGTATATAATGTATATATATATGTGTGTGTGTGTGTGTGTATATACATATATATATATATATATATGTATATACACAGATAATCTACCCAATTCAAGGGGAAAGGACATGGACTCCACATCTTGATGTGAGGAATGTCAAAGAATGTGTGACCATCTTTAACTTTCCATAATAATTTATGGTTATAATATAAAAAAAATTCAAAAAACAGGTGAATTATAAAGAAGAAAATGAACAGCTATGTTCTCATCTCTCAAAGAGAGCTACAGACATACCCCATTCTAATCTTTTATAGCTACATAACTGCTTTCAAACTTGAAAAATGAATAGTATTTATATATTTGGGATATGAAAATTAAATGAGTTAGCAGGTAAAGTGTTCAGAACATTGCGTAGCACACAATAAAATGATAGTCATTGTTTTTTATTATTGTAAATATTTCAATTTACTTTTTTTTTTTCACATATCTGCATGTGCTTTCCAAGATTGAGATCATACTTTTTTTGTGTATGATTTGGGTGAAAGTTTATAAAGCAAATTCATTTCCTAAGTGCCTAAGGCATTTGACTGCTAACCAGAAGGTGGCAGTTCAAACCCCCAGACACTCTGTGGAAGAACGATGGGGCAGTCTACTTCCATAAAGATTTACCACCTTGGAAACCAAAATGGGGTCACTGTGAGTCGGAATTGACTCTGTGGGAGTGGGTTTGATTTTTTTTGGTTTATACAGCAGTTTATACACATTTTGTTTCATGACATTGATTGCAACCCCCATAATGTTAACAGTTCTCTTCCCACTTCCTCCCTGTGGTAACCTTTTCCCTGTGTCCTTCTTTCCTGTGCATTGCTGCCCTCTGAGCTATCTCCCTGTGCAAATACTCCCCCTCTGAGCTCCCATGATTAATTGTTCTAAGGAGTGTACCTACCTGGTGTAAATATTCACCTTATAGTGCCTAAGTAGTGATACTGCCTCGGAAACCCAAGGAGGGGTCGCTATGAGTCGGGGCCAAGTCTACAGCATATAACACAACAACAACATGCCTATTGTTTGGCTGGAAGCCATGGTAGTAAGTTCAATTTCAGACCTGAATGGTGACTAGGCACCATAGTCTCAGGAGTTTCACCAGTCTCTATCAGACCAATAAGCCTGATCTTTTTTTTTAATGATTTTGAGCAAAATTGGAGCCATACTTTATGTACAGTTAGGTCCTGTACTTTTTAAATTTAACATGTTCTTGGCATTTTTTCATTTTATTAAATATTCTTGGATTCATTATTGATTCAAGCTGGATAATGCAAGCATATTACTTCAATTTTACCATTGAGAAAGACTTTGAGAAGTTGTGACTTTTATTATGAGTGGGGGCTCTGGAGGAAGATTATCAGAGTTCTTACTGTTCCAATTCTAACTATGAAATCTTGAGCAAGTTAGGTACTTCTTTTTGAGTTCAATTTCCTCATCTGTAAAGTGAGATTAACGATAGGGTTCTGCTTGTGTGATTATTGGGCATATAAAGTACTTAACATAGCTCTTAACAAAGAGTGAGCATTTGATAAATGTTTACCATCATTTTATATTATTGTTAATAATGTTAAAAGTAATAATACATGTTTACCATTTTCTGTTGTTAATAATTTTAAAAGTAACAATTTTGTTCTATAAATGATATAATTTGTTTCAGAATTGGGACTTGAATTCAAGTTAACGTACTCAACAGCAATTGGTTTGTTTTTTTTGTTTATAACTCTAAGCATTCCTCTTTTTCCTACAGGGCATCTACTACATTGTCTTTATGACTTTATATTATAATTGTTTCCTTTTTACCTTATAGAGAATGGTGGCATGAAGCTCAACAAAATAAGAAGATAAGACCTAATCCTCATGACACTAAAGTGAAGAAAAAATTACGGAAGCTGCAACTCACTCCTGGTTTTCCTAACCCAGCTGTTGCTGACGCTTACCTGAGGCCCACAGTGGATGACTCAAAGGGATCATTTCTGTGGGGAAAACCTGATCTTGAAAAAATTAGAGAATATCCTTTTATTTCTTAAAACATAAAGGAACACTGAGTTAAATATGTGTTTTGGTATAAAACTTATGAAGTTAGATTGTTTTTTTTCTTACATTACATTGATTCCTTTCAGTTCTTTTTCCCTATCCTTAATTTTAAAGAGCTTATTTATTTGGAATAAGCCCCAATGAGCATTCATAGATGCAACTAGATACTTAAATATTAGTCTGAAGAGATAAGATGATTAACTTTATCCTTTTTATTACTGTTGTTCTTTTTTGTGTGTCATTTGAATAGATGTTGAAAAGTTTACAATAGAATTAATTGAACTACTGTCTTTTTGTGTTTGTTTTTTATCCTCAAAGAAATTAACTACTGTTTTCTTTTCTCAAGAGTCTTTGATATCCTAAAATAATAGTTGAATATGTTTGATCTTACAGGATATTGAAAAGAACATAGTGCTAGATAATTATATTGGTATAATTTGTGTTGTTATTCTTTTCTTTTACCACTTTAATCTTTGTAAATATGAAAATATTTGGAGATACGAGGATTCAAGGGTAGGTTCTTGGTACTTCTAGATTTATCACTTCTTTAAATATCTTTGAAAACATTTGTAAGTCTTAACTGTCTGCAGATTTTGTCAGCGGTATTTTGGCTGGAATAGAACTAAGACAGATGAATCTCTGTTTCCAATACTAAAGCAACTGAATGCTCAGCAGGTAATCATGGTGGGCTTTTTTCCTAAGCTCAGGAGAAAGAGTAAACTTATTAAGGCTATGTTTGGCAGGTACTAAAGACCAGTAACACTTTTATTTTAGGGCATAGCACATACATTTAAAAGTGATGATAACTTTAGATAAGAGAACAGGAAAATATATTAAAAAAGTTTGACTTTGTCTTCATTTTCTAATATCACTCTTCATGCTGGCCCTCAATTTCCATTCTTTTTTTTTTTTTTTTTTTAACTTTGAAGAGGAAAAAAAAAAAGTCTATTTAGGTACAGGAGATTTTTGAAGAGAAAAAGGTCTTTTTATGGTCTTTAGTTATCATATAGGTAACAACATCTTGCTTTACTTATGAGTACGTTTCTACCACTAAAAAGCAAGCCTTTCCACTCCTCAGAACAAATTCACAAAATGTGTATAAACTATATAGCAGAAATGGGGCCATAGCTCTTAAAAAACCCAAACCAAACTCACTGCCATTGAGTCGATTCTGACTCATAGTGACCCTCTTTGGGTTTCCAAGGTGGTAAGTCTTTATTGTTGTTATGTGCTGTCGAGTCTGACCTGACTCATAGTGACCCCGCCTTGGGTTTCCAAGGCAGTATCACTGTGAAAGTAGATTGCCCAACCTTCCTCCCGAGGAGTAGCTGGTGGGTTTGAACCGCCAGCCTTCTGGTTAGCGGTCAGATGCCTTAGGCACTATGCCACCAGAGCTCCCCTAGACTGTATATTTAAATTAAATGAATTTCTGTTAAACCAAAACCTAACCAACCTGCTGTCATCAAGTTGTTTCTGATACGTAGTGACATTATAGGACAGAGTTGAACTGCCTCATAAGGTTTCCCAGGCTGTAAATCTTTACAGAAGCTGACTGCCTCATCTTTCTCCCGGAGAGAGGTTGGTGGGTTCTAACCGCTGACCTTTTGGTTAGCAGCCAAATGCTTCAACCACTGCACCACCAGAGCTCCTTTTCAATTTCTGTTAGCTTTTATCCTTTTCATTGTTCTTTTTGTTTTTAAAGACAAAAACAAAAACCAGAGTAAACATTTCCAGAAAGCATTTCCCCTTTTTTTGCTTGATGACTTCACTTATTGAAACTGTTAGGAACCAATAGAGAAAGAAATCTATTTGGCTTAGTGAGTCCTTAATTATAGATGAATTTTTTGGAACATTTTCCCCCTTTTCATTATAGAAGTTAATATTAATTTATTCCCCCTAAATTGGAAAGTGAAAAAATGAAGAAAAATTATTTTCTATCTCCTCTAACACAGATCTTGACATTTAGGTTTATTTCCTTTTATTTCCTCCTCCTTCCAACATATAATCGTTAGCGTATGTAAATGTAACTTTATATTCCTTTCCTCTACCCACACTCATTAACATAACTCATTTTTGTTTTTTTTTTCTGCATTATTGATTAGTTTCCATAATTTCAAATGACCAGATTATATTGCATCAAGGGAATTTAACTTAATTAGTTTGGTTTACTTGTTAGACCTTCACATTTTAATTTTTTATAAATATGATAAATATTAGGCATATAACTTTTCTCATATGTAAATATTTTTTACAAATACCTTCTTAAAAAATAGATTTTCTGAACCAGCAACATGCGTGTTTCTAATGGCTGCTAATATTGTTTGTGGAATTGCTTCCTAAGGAAATTGAGTGATGATAATATTTTTTAAAGAAGAAAATAGTAGAATTTAGGAATGGACCCTATAAAATTATATTACTCCAAGGGAAAGCAGTAGATGTGGCTACCGAAAAAACAGCACTTTTTGAGTGCCTGGTAAGAGATTTCATATCTGAGATGTGGACAGTTGACAGAGTTTATTTAAGTAGTACTTAAAATGTGATATAGAAAGTAAAATTTTACTCATTTGGGAGTAAACTGGTTTCTAAGAGATAATGAAATAGTGTTCTCTGACATAGTTATCTAATGCCAGTGACCAAGGTTGAGATCTTTGTTTCTTTTAAGAAACTTGTCTAATTTATGTTTATTCTATTTTTTTAGACTCAGCTTCGAATTGATTCTTTCTTTAGATTAGCTCAACAGGAGAAACAAGATGCTAAGGGTATTAAGAGCCGGAGACTCAACAGAGCTGTGACATGTATGCTGAGGAAGGAACGGGAAGAAGCTAGTGAAATAGAAGCAATTTCGGTTGCTATGGAGAAAGAGTTTGAGATACTTGATAAGGTAAAAGGAAAAACCCAGAAGAGAAGCATAGAAAATAAATTGAAAGATTCATCAAGCCTGAAAAGAAAAAGACTTTCTGATTCTAAACGAGGGAATAAATGTGGTGGATTTTTGGGGGAGGCCTACCTCTCAGAATCATCTGATGCATCTTCAGGTGAGGATGCCGAAAGCTTATCTTTAATTAACAGCCAAAGGGAAAAAGCAGCTAAAGAGTCAAAAATCAGCCCTTCAGATTTACAGAACACAGTGAAACATGATCATGTGAAGCATGAAGGTGTGACTACGAGCAGCTCTAGTGATGATGAAACGAAAACAAAAGTAGTCATGGTGACTGCTAGATCTGTATTTGGGAAGAAAAAAGGGAGATTGAGAAATACAAGAGTAAGACAAAGAAAAACCTAATGTAAGAAAATGTATTTTCTGTATATTTATACAGATATTTTTACATTTCCTAATGAATTTGCTGTGAGGATATAATAAAATTAAACAAATTTACGTAATCTTTATATTCAGTGTGTGGCTTTTAAATATATGGGTGCTAAACTCTACAATTACCTTTTTCCATCTTTACTGATTTCCTTCTCTCTGCTTTTAAATAGTTGAAAAATCTTTCCCAATGAAAACAAAATACAAATTAATACTCTACAATTACCTGTTTCTCAGTATGTTACTTTTTCTGGTGTTTTCTACTTCATTGAGTGTTTCCTTGTAATCACAGGAGTTGTCTTCATATTTTCAATATCAGATGCTTTCTGACCACATTTTTTTTAAGAAAAAGGCTTTATATTGATTGGTACTCACTCTAAATAAGCCTTCCCTCTGACTTTCAGACTTAGACAAGAGGCAAAATATCCTTATTTTTCATACCACAATATTGACAGTTCCACCCAACTACATGAAGTCCTGTGTCTTGCTACTTCTCCTTTTCCCTAAGGTTCCAGTTGAAAGAATAGCAGGAAGGAAGCTCACTGCCGAAACATATTAGAAGAAATGTTTTCTATGGTTATAAGCAAACAATTAGAAAACTTATATAGGGAGCATCATTTCACTGGTGGCCACTAATTGTGAGAACCTTGATACTGTAATGTTGGGCTTTTAAAATACTTTTGTTGTCAAAAGCTGGCTTCTGTGTAAATGGATTTGGGGGTTCAGGTCTGTAATTAAACTGGTATAGGTGGGCCAACTTTAAAAGTGGCTTCCAGGGGTTCATTATTATTAAAAGATGTTTCTTTAGAGTGCCCAGAACAACAACAACAAAAAAACCAAACTCACTGCCCTTGAGTTGGATCTGATTCATAGTGACCCCTCTTTGGGTTTCTGGGGTGGTATCACTATGGAAGTAGATTGCCCAGTCTTCCTTCCAAGGAGTGGCTGGTGGGTTTGAACCACCAGCCTTCTGGTTAACGGTCAAATGCCTTAGGTACTACGCCACCAGAACTCCTCAAGTGGCCAGGCAAAGGTTATTTTAAAATTTCTTCTGCTGAGACATCCCACAATAATGACACCCAAACTACTGGTTGCTTAGGTTAAGAACAATCTAATTCCTTTGGACATGTATTTGTCTGCCTTCAGAGGTAGCTTCCTCCGTCTGAGACTTTACTGGCATCTTTAGTTTTCCATCTTTACTGATTTCCTTCTCTCTGCTTTTAAATAGTTGAAAAATCTTTTCCAATGGAAACAAAATACAAATTAATACTTCCAACAACCTGTGAATGACCCCTAGATCTTTGTTTGTTTGTTTTCAGGCTATCATTTACGTTGACTTTTCAGCCAAACTTCTCAAATAACTGGGGCTATAGCTGCTACTTTTCTTTGCTCATTATTTAGTTCATTCCTGATTAGAAATATGTCTGCTTCCATTAGTCTTCTGCAGCAGCTGTTTTCTAAAGTCAACAATGACTTCTGTGTAAATAAACCATCATATCTTTTCTTAATGCTGCTTTTCTCTGAAGATATTTGAAACAATTGAATGCTTTTTTTGAGGGGAAACATTAGCTTTTTCATGTTATTCCCATTTCTGTCAGCTGCTTATAATTGGAAGTTTCCTGCATATGTATTTGTAGACAGGGTATGAGTAGTTTTACTAAAAAAAATAAAAAAAATAATTGCCTTTAATATATAACATACATATTTTTAAAACTTTTTGTGATTTGGGTGAAATTTTAAAGAGCAGATTTGTTTTCCAACAAAACAGTTCTACAGAGGAGAACTGTTTTCTAACAGTTCATACCCATTTTGTGTTGTGAAGTTGATTACAATCCCTACCATGTAACATCGCTCTTCCCCTTCCCCCCCTGTGGTTACCCCCCCTTCTTCTTTCTATGTGTTCCTTTTCCCCTACCTTTCTCCCTGTGCAAATGCTGCCCTTCTGATCTCCTGTGGTTGGTTATTCTAAGGAGTGCATTTCCCTGGTGTAATTTTTCAGCTCATAAAAAAAAAACTCACTGCCCTCAAGTCAGACCCGACTCATAGCAACCCCTCCTTGGGATTTCCGAGGCAGTGTCACTACAGACATAGATTTCCCAACCGAGGCGTGGCTGGGGGGTTTGAACCTCCAGCCTTCTGGTTAGCAGTCAAATGCCTTAGGCACTATGCTACCAGAGCTCCCATTCAGCTCATAGGCCTGTCTGTTGTTAGGCTGAGAGTTAAGATGTGAAAATGTGTTCAATTAGAGGCCCAAGGGTGATGAGGGGCCATAGTGTTGGGAGGGTGGGTTTCTTCAGTTTCTATCTGACTAGTAATCCTGGTCTTTTTTATGTTTTTGAATTTTGTTCCACATTTTTCTCCCACTCTATCCAGAATCTCCAGTTTCTGAGTGGTTGGTGTTGGTACCCAGATACCATCTAGTTCTTCTTGTCTTAGGGTCCTATAGATTGAAGTTTCCATAGTCCATTATTCCTTTGGCCAAATTGTGTCCATGTGTCTTTGATTTTTTTTTACTCTTCTTTGTTCTGATTGAGGAAAGACCAATAGTTGCACCTTAGATGGCTGGCTGCTTACAAGCTTTTAAGACTAGTTGCTGCTTACCAAAGTAGGATTTAGAACAATATATATATATTTGTATGTGTTATGTTCTAGCAATCGAGTTTGATGTTCCCTGCAACCATGGCCTCAAGCTCGTGGCCCAGCAACTCACTTCCCCAAGGTGCTTGTAGCTAAGAAGTTAATTTTCCTGTTACTTCTATTCTGAACATTTTTAAAGCACATACAAATACTTATGTAGAAATACTGTCTGCCAACCTGGAAAGTCATGGGTATATGCTCATTTGCCTATACATACCTGATCATCATTTCTGTCTACCTAAGTATCTACCCATAGATTAAATGTTTATTACTAATAATGTAGTATTGTGTATGTAATAGTATTTATCTTTGTTGTGTGCACCTCTTGTGCACCTCTCTGTCTTGTGTATCTTCCTTAGTGATATTGTGCGGGTTACATGCTTTTGTTATATTGGCTTACCGATTACCCAAATTGATACATGTCTCTTTTTTTTTTTCTTTCTGGCTTCTCTTTGTGGGAAGGCTCGATACATGTCTCTTAACTAGCTAGCAATTTTCCCTCCCTCCCCTCTCATCCCTGGTAACCAATAAAGAAAATTCCCCTTCCTGTGTAAACCTTTCCTTGACTTTTTTTTTTTTTTAAAGTTTTACTGTGATTTGGGAAAAGTTTACAGAGCAAATTCATTTTCCATACAGCCGTCCACATACACTTTGTCTCATGACATTGCTATTTGCCACAATGCAACAGCTCTCTTCCCACTTTCTCCCCATAGTTACCTTTTCCCTGTATCTTTCCCTCCTATGCACTCCTGCCCTCCAAGCTGTCCCCTGAGCATACACAGCCCTTCTATTTTCCCATGATTGATCTCTCCAAAGAGTGTATCTACCTAATGTAAATGTTCAGCTCATATGCCTGTCTTTTGTTTGGCTGGAAGCCACAGGAGTGGATTCAATTCCAGACCTGAAGGGCAGCTAGGGGCCATAATCTCAGGGGTTCCACCAGGCTCTATCAGACCAGCAAACCTGGTCCCGCCCTCCGACCCCCCCTTTTTTTTCATGATTTTGAGTTTTGTTCCACATTGTTCTTACACTCCATCAAGGATCTCCTACATAGATCCTCCTCCAAATGGTTGACAGTTGTAGCTGGGAACCATCTAGTTCTTCTGGTCTCATAGTCAGATAGGCTGAGGACTGCATGATGTACCAATCCCTTGGACTAGTTGTTTCCATGTGTCTTTGGTTTTCTTCATTCTTCTTTGCTCTGGACGAGGAGAGACCAATCATTACATCAAGATGACTGCTAGCAAGCTTTTAGGATTCCAGTCACTACTTACCAAAGTAGGATGTAGAACAGTGTTTTTGTGCAGTGTGTTATGCCAATTGAGTTTAATGTCCCCTGCAACCATGGTCTTGAGCCCACAGGTCCAACTACTTGCTCCCTCTGGGTATCTGGCTGTGGCCAAAAAGTGACAACAACCTTGTCCTTTGTCAGTTGTACTATATACCTGAAAATTTTTACAGAACATTTCAATACACTTGTAGAAACATTGTCTGCCAACCCTATATACCTACTCTTGGGCACACTCCCCCCTGCATAGGCATACCTAATTGTTCAGCCTGTCCACCCATCTATCTACCTGTATATCAATGTTTGCCATCACTGACAACATAGTACTGTATGTGCAAAAGGGTTCATCTTTGTTGTCTTTACCTCCCATGCACCTCTCTATGTCTTCCTTTTCCTCATTGCCACTGTGTTCGTCACTCACATTTGGTACATTGCCCTTCCCTTCATCCAAATCAGTATTTGTCTCTACTTATCTAACAGTGTTCCCTCCCCTCTCTTCCCACCCTTGGTAACCAACAAAGAAAATTTCCTTCCATATATAAACCTTTCCTTGACTTTTTTTTTTTTCATTGTGATTTGGGTGAAAGTTTAGAGCGCAAATTCACTTCCCATAGAGAAGTTCACATACAAATTGTCTCATGACATTGACTACAATTTACCCCAATGCAGCAGCTCCCCTCCCACTTCCTTCCGATAGTTACCTCTTCCCTGTGTCCATCCCTCCACACACTCCTGCCCCCTGAACTGTCTCCCTGTGTACTTCAGGTACATGTTCAACTCTTATGCTATCTTTTGTTTGGCTGGAAGGTGTGGGTTCAATTCCAGACCCGAAGGGCGGCTAGGGACCATAGTCTCAGTGGTTCCACCAGGCTCTATCAGACCAGCAAACCTGGTCGCCCTCCGCCTTTTTTTTTCCAAATGATTTTGAGTTTTGTTCTACATTGTTCTCCCTCTCTATCCAAGATATCCTACATAGATTCCCCTCCAAGTGGTTGGCAGTGGTAGCCGGGCACCATCTAGTTCTTCTGGTCTCATAGTTGTATAGGCTGAG